TTGGAGCTCTTTGCTTTTAGACTTATACCAGCAGCAAAAGGGCAGAAGAGCTGTCTCATTCCCTTCAGGGTCCCTGTTATAAAGCCCACAACACTGCACGTCTGCTTTTATTTACCAGAGTCTATCATAAGGCCCATGAGAGAATGGGGTCTTACTGCTCCCCATGAAGTTCATGGCCATGCTGGAAGTACTTATCAAGGATTTGCTGCATGCATGCATGAATGGATGTTATTGGAGATCGGAGAACTTTTCTGAATGCCAGGTCTGGAGGGTGTAGATGGCCACACATCTCAGATGCACACTAATAAGCACACTTGGAATGACTAAACGTAACAATGATTCATTCTGCTAGAATTTTCCCACCTGCAGGGCCTGGTCTTCCAGTGTCCCCATTCCTTCTCCCTTGGTCATCCTACCAGAAAATTACAGGGGTGATGAATGTCAGAAGCATTTCAGCAGCCTATGGCAGGGTCCGGAATGAAGTCAAAGAAAGTAAATACGGCCTTATTAGGAGATCCTGGCCTCCATGGGGAATCTGCCCGGTCTCTGTTCAGCTTCCTGTGCTGTCACAGAAAGCAGCTCTTTTGGACCACCGCCTCCAAGTGACAGTGTCCTGACTCCCAGGACCTCCTTTAGTCAGCTCCACTTCCTTCCTGGCTCCCCATGCCTGATTGTTTCAGGACTGTACCACAGTGCAAGGGCACTGCCTGTATCCCTGAGGGCGGCCACGGCGGGGAGGAACTCCTGAGCCCTGGGAGGTGAGATAATGGCACAGACAGCTCACTTCAGGAAACCCTGCTGCTGCTGCTCCTCCAGGGCCATCCCATGCGTTCATTTTTTATCTAGTCATGAGTCAAAGTGCTACATACATCAGGAACACACAGGGGCCACAGAACTCCATCCTGGTCCCTGAAGAAAGGGTGTGGAATTTCTGGAACAGCTTTGTCTTTGCTGGGTAGAGGAGGTAGTAGTGACTGCAGTGTGAGAAGATTCACACCGTGTCTTTACTTAGCGGTCGTGAACATTTTAAATTATATTGATTTTTAGTTAATGGTTAGTAAATGTTCAGCTATGAAATCAAGTGTTAGCCAAATTCAATCCTCCCACTTTGTGTGTATACGTATCTATGCATGCTTGTGGGTGGGTATGCATGTTCACATGTGTGTGGAAGCCAGAAGTCAACCTCAGGTGTCATATCTCAGGAGCTGCCCAATTAATGAATTAGAAAAGGTTCTCACTATGTAGCCCCAGCTGGCCTGGAACTCAGACCCACCTGCCTCAGGCTCTTAACTGCTAGGATTAAAGGCATACACCACCACACCTGGTGTCTACTTTCTCTTTTAAGACAGAGTCTCTCCCTGGGTCCTGGGGCTCACTGATAAGACTAAGATTAGAAGCATGTGCCACCATGCTTGATGTTTATGTGGCTGATGGGGTTTGAACTCAAGCCTTCATGGTTGTTCAGCAAGCCCTTCCCTGACTAAGCCATCTCTGCAGCCCTAGAATTTGCAATTGTTACAGCAGACCAGTGTCTCTGTGACTTCACTTCTGTCCTCCTCTGCCAGGCATGAGCAGCCCAAGGTAGAGCAAACACCTTTGTGTTGGGGGCCTCACAGCATGGAGCACAGTGCCTTCTGCATGTCGACCAAAGGGATGAAGGAAGGAAGCTGTTGGGTGAACCACTGTAGGATGGGTTTGCATAGGGCAAGAAGAATAAATAAGACTGTGAAAGTCTCCTTAGGGATGCCTATCTGTGCCCCATTCTCCTTCTCTTGCTAGCCCAGGCTCTGAGGCTAACCTTATCTGGCTTTTCTTCTCATCCTAAGCTAAGACCTTGGGCAACTGGAGCCAAGGAGTGGCATAGTCCCCATTGTAGCTGTTCTAAGGAATATAAAGCAAGTTCTTCTCAGTATCCATCTGTCCATCCATCCATACATGAATCCATCCATACACTAGTCCGTCCATCCATCCATCCATCCATCCATCATCTATTGATCTAGGTAGATCTCACTATGCTGCTCAGGCCAATGTCAAGCTGTGGGCTTGAGAGATGCTCCTGCCAATACTTCCCAAGGGCTGGGATCATAGACATGTGTCTGGCACCCAGCTTGTTTTTCTGAATTAAGGTATATTTGAAATGAGATATAGTAAAATTCAGACATGTAGATGTATGAGTTGAGATAAACATATACAGTCATGAGCCTACCACCACAATCAAAATCTAAAGTATATCCAAAGCTCCTAGAGGCTTGCTCATATCCCAATGCAGTCAACACCGTACCCTGATGCCCAGGTCCTGGAAGCCACTGACCTGAACTGCACACCTGACCCTGTCACTCAGCACCTCTTTCCCTACCTGAAATTCATAGTACCACCTTATGTGGCATTTCCCTAGACTTTCCAGCCATGACTTTCCTGGTTCCTTCCCATTCCTTAGTTACTCCTGTTCCCTAGCTGGCTGTGTAAACATAGGTGCTGCTTGGTCATCATTCTTTCTTCTTGTCACTCTTATGTAAGGAAGCCCTCCTCTATGCTCTTAAACTCTATGCTCTTAAACTCATAAGGTTACCTGTGTAGCCCTGGCTGGCCCAGAACTCATAGAGATCCGCCTGCCTCTGCCTCCCTCATGCTGGGATTAAAGGTGTGCCTCACACTTGGATTTACCTGTGTTCTTCATGTGAACAACTGTGACACCATCCAAATCCACCAAAGTGGAACACTCCCTTTTTATGTTTGAATGTGAGACGTTCCCCCTAGGTTCATCTGTTTGAACACTTGGCCCCTAGTGGGTGGCACTGTTTGAAAAGGTTGTGGGAGGTGGAGACTCACTGGAGGATAGGAGTCACTAGAGGTCCCACTAGAGGTGGGACTTCAGGTTTTATAGTCCAGTCCAACTTCCTGCTCACTCTCTGCCTTGCTGAGTGCATACAAACTGTGATGAGCTGCCTGACCACCATGCCTCCCTCCACGACAGATGGTATGTACCTGTTCTTACACCATAAGCCCAAATACCAAAGACATTTTACACCCTTCTTTCCGAAGTTGCTTTTGTCAGGTATTTCATCATAGCAAGAAGAAAGCTTTCTGCCGTCCCACCTGGAGGTAGCCATCTTTACATTATGGCTTGGGTTTGCCTCTACTTTGCATATCTGCAGCTGCGGATGCTGGCCAGAACCACTGCTGGCCCTAGTCAGCCAAACTCATCTCCTCAAGCCTTGCTCTTAGTCCTTTAGACACCTTCCACAGAGGTGCCAGGGCTAGTTTCCTAAAACGCAAATCAGACCGCATTCTCCTCCTAAGAAAAGCCCATTCTCTAGTGGTGCTCCAGTGTGTAATGGTTGAAAAGTCAAGTTCAAGATGAACACTCGGGCCCTCCATTGCCATATCTATCCTGTTTCTCAGCCTCTTATTCCTGTCTACTCGAGCCGCACTGGCCTATCTGGGCAGGGACATCATATACCCTTGTGCTTTTGAGTTGAAACTCACTGTCTCTCCGCTCCTGAGTTTGGAGTCTCCTCTGCCCCTCTCCCTCCCTGGTAGAACTAGCCTGTGCTTCCTAGAGCTCTGAGGGCATTCACACGCCAGTGCAGGACAATATATTCTAGATGCTACTATGCTGGTCACTCTGCCATTTACACCCACTCTTCTCAGAATCTCTGAAGCCCAAGTGCAGAATTTTAAAAAATGCTCATTGAAAATATTTTGCCCAACATCAGACAAAAAAGGTAAATATCAAGGAAAGGATTTTTGTCCATACTTTTCTTGTTTGCATAACAGTCTCAGGGCTTATTGTAAAAAATTACTTTAATGTTTTCTACTTGGACTTGGGTCAGTTTATAACAGTAACAACAACAACAATAGTAATAGTGATAATAATGCTAAGCTGTAACTTCTGGTATGTTTAATAAACTATAGTTTAAAAATTGAAAACCTATTCCAGGAGTAATTCTATGTGAAGAAGTCAGATGTAAGCCCCTGATGCCTACAGAGGGAATGCTAGCCTGTGTGGCGAAGCCTGTCACTGTGGATTCTATGTGAAGAAGTCAGATGTAAGCCCCTGATGCCTACAGAGGGAATGCTAGCCTGTGTGGCGAAGCCTGTCACTGTGGATTCTATGTGAAGAAGTCAGATGTAAGCCCCTGATGCCTACAGAGGGAATGCTAGCCTGTGTGGCGAAGCCTGTCACTGTGGATTCTATGTGAAGAAGTCAGATGTAAGCCCCTGATGCCTACAGAGGGAATGCTAGCCTGTGTGGCGAAGCCTGTCACTGTGGATTCTATGTGAAGAAGTCAGATGTAAGCCCCTGATGCCTACAGAGGGAATGCTAGCCTGTGTGGCGAAGCCTGTCACTGTGGATTCTATGTGAAGAAGTCAGATGTAAGCCCCTGATGCCTACAGAGGGAATGCTAGCCTGTGTGGCAAAGCCTGTCACTGTGGATTTTAAGGGCTCTGAGAACTTATTTCTTTGTTCATCTCATCCTTTTCCCAACAGACAACCTGAAATAATGGTGACCATCCTAGAGCCATAAAGTCCCGCGATGATGAAGGTGTGAAAATGGGGACCCAGGTGACTCATTAGTTTTCTCAGCCAGATCGTACCAGATGTACTAAAGGAGGCGAGACGCTGACCCCCAGTCCTCTGGGTCCAGGCTGGTGCGAGCAGCCAGCTCCATTTCCCCCACCACAGCACTGGATGATAACTTTGAGTTGCCATGATGTGAAAAAGGTTGTGAAGCCAGCACTGAGAGCAGAGCCCTTGTTCCCGGAGAAGCCCTTCTCTCTGTCCTAGAAGGGAAATCATTTTATGACTAATCAGATCCTGAACACACGATCTGAAAAATGAAGAGCCTGACCTGCAATGGAAGAGGAGTGTGAGTGAGTGTGTGTGTGTGTGCACACGCGCACGCTGCTTTTGGGGGAAGAGTGATTAAGAAAATAGCATGACGGCTGAAGCACGGTAGCAACTCAGGATGGGGAGGGCTTTGATGCCCAGTACTCACCGCTCCTACCAAAGGGTAGATGAACCCGGCGCCAATGCTGGCCCGGACGTCACTGATCGGCAGAATGAAATCCCTCGGCACCCCTTTTTTCTCAGGTTGGTGAGAGAGAGAAAGGTGGGTCTTTGCCATGCAAATGGGCAAATTTCCAAAACCCTGTGAGAAAGGAAAGGAAATGTGTTCACTGACACAAACGCTGGTCTCCTGTACTTAATTTGCATTTTACACCGTTTCCACAGCAGTCAGTCAGGCATAGTAGCTGCTCAGTCCATCTTGTCCATTGAGCAAGAAGCTGAGGGTAAGAACTCCTCTCCACCTGGCCACTGTTTAGCAGGTGGTGGGGTCTACTGTTTACTTTGGAGGATCTCTTTAAAAGGAGGCACTTTCATGCTGTGCGTGCGTGCGTGCGTGCGTGCGTGCGTGCGTGTGTGTGTGTGTGTGTGTGTGTGTGTGTGTGTAAGCAAGGCTACTTTTAGACACAGCAGCAGGAGCAGCTGTAGAAACCACTTTTCAAGGCTATTAATATCCGGGACCCAGAAAGGTAATCTGGACCTCGGCTCCCAATGAGGCTCTCAGTCTCCTCATTCTCTTCTTGGAGTCTGTCAGGAAGCAAAGGGCCCTTTGTGCTAGTTTATGAATCATGGCTATTTGATCAGCGATTACATTATAGGAACTAAGATGAGGTCACTTTTTAAGCCTTTTTTATTTTTAGGGACCAAAGTCTGTGCCTGACCCTGAGTTCCAAAGGTGAAAGGGGAGGAAGTCACATGTGGTAGCCACAAAAAGGACTGTGTCTGTGAGGCATGCTGTAATTAAATAGCACATAGCGTTCCTTCAGAGACTTTGCTAATTAACTACAACCACATACTTGACACTAACTTTTAAGAAATACTCCCTTGGTGGACAGACAGATGACTGAGATTCAATTGCTTATGATTCAACCTAAAGCTATCTGGAATATTTTAGAGTATTATCAATTGTGAGGGCCATTGTCTGCTTGAAATTCCTACATGGACATACTGATAAGGATTTTGTATAAGGGAAAAAAAATCACAACTGGTACCCAGAATTTTAGATTTTGGGGATTCATCAAGTATTTAAATAATTCCTATGAAATGACATAGATTACCTTTAAACATTTACCAGTAGAAATATTTTAAAAATGTAACTTATTCAAATATTACATCACAAAATAACATTTTACAACCAAAAAAAGGGACTTGCTATTAGAATAAATGCTAGTTCTTAGCATTAAAAGTTCATGAAAAAATACCCGCAATGACCTTATTTTCCTCAGTGCTTTGTGAATGTGTTTCACCAAAGAATAATGCCGATGACTGACATTTTTTCTTTTTCTAGAGGGGCAAGGCTCTAACCTAGGCTGACCTTCAACTCTATGTAGCTGAGGGTGACCCTGAACTTCTGATTTTGCTGCCTCTATTCTCCAAGGACTGGGATTACAGGCTTCTGCATCCAAACCCCTTTTATGCAGTGCTGGGGATTGAACCTAGGGCTTGGTGCATGCTATGCAAACACTCAACCACTAAGCTATATCCCCAGTCTGGGAACACCTTTTTCTTGTTTGTTTGGCTTTTGAGACAGAGTCTCCTTGTAGCCCCAGCTGGCCTGGAACTCAATATGTAGACTAGGCTGGCCTCAATCTCACAGAGATTTGCCTGTTTCTGTCTCTTGAGTGCCGAGATTTAAGGTGTGTGCCACTTCATCTGGCTGGGGATGCTTTTTTATAAAGAAAAGCTGGGAGTGGGTGGGAGATGGCTCAGTGGGTAAGAGTACTTACTCTGTAAGCATAAGGACCTGAGTTTGAATAGTCAGCCTCCATGTAAAAAGTAGGACATGGCTATGCATGCCCTTAACCTCAGCATTGGGGAGCAGAGGCAGATAGATCACGAGAGCTTGCTCACCAGCAGAAAGGGTGAGGTTTCAGTTCAGTGAGAGACCCTATGTCAAGGTAGTAAGGGAGGTAGAGTGATAGAGGAAGACATTAGGCACCCTGATCTGGCTTCTGCAAGCACATGCACAGGTGTGCACACCCACATACTCATGTATAAGCAAAACACACATAATACATGCACAGAGGCAAAGAAAGAAAGAAAAAAGGATGGAAAGCAAGAAAGATAACAAAGTTGGGACTAGGGCTGAAGCTAGGTGGAAAAGCATTAGCTAAGCATGTGGGAGGCTCCTGGTTCCATCCCCAACACTCCCAACCCCCCTGGCCCACCAAACAAAAATACAAGAGACCTGGGTTCGATTCCCAGCACCCACATGGCGGCTACGAACCATCCTTAACTCCAGTTCCAGGGGAATCCAAAGCCCTCTTCTGACCTCCGTGGCACTGCACAACATGGGTGCACTCACATACATGCAGGCAATACACTCATACACATAAAATAAAAATAATAAAATATTAAAAAAAGACAAGTCAAGAGAATCCATGCAAACCTCAAAGAAAAATGATTTTATCAAACCTCAGAGAATATTCAACTTGGCATTTAACAAAATGTCACACGTTTACAAATAAGATAAAGGAATAGGAATGGGACATACACACACACACACACACACACACACACACACAGAGTGAACAGTGTTACTGGTAATATAGCTCTCCCCACAGCAAGCTTTTGAAACGTTCTGACTTCTGTTGTATTACCATAGCAGGTGGGGGCTTTGAGGCACACAGCCCTTCTGGCTAAACCTCTGTCCAGCAATGGACTTGGCTGATGGTGCCAGTGTAAGACTAGGTGGTGGCTCACGCCACTGGCTCACAGCTGCCCTCACAGCTGCTTGCCAACTTGCCTTAAATGTGAAGATGATGTCTAGGGGCAGAAGATGATGGAGGCTTCAACTACTGTTGACAATCCTGGAGACAAGCTAATGAACCGCTTGCACCAAAAGATGACCAAACATGTTCATGTTTTTTCATATAGTGCAGTTCGATCAGCTTACGTGCATCATTTTAACGATAGTAGGAGCCCTGCAGTGAGGAAGGAGTTAAACTCTGACTCCCCAGCTGCAAACCAAAGGACACTTTCAAATGCCTTTGGCTGAGTGGGTGAGAGTCTAGAAATACTCTGCATGTGAACAGAGACACCACCCATATCAGACATAAAGGGGCTGGGGATTGAGCTCGGAGGAAAATGTTGGCCTAGCATGTGCCAGGCTCCAGGTTCAATTTTGCACTGCAGACCCCAGCACTGCAAAGCAAGTCACATTTATTTTTATATTTTATTCATTTTTTATGTGTATGAGTATATTGCCTGCATGTGTGTAAGTGCACCTGAGTTGTGCAATGCCTATGGAGGTCAGAAGAGGGCAGTGAATTCCCCTGGGACTAGAGTTATAGATGGTTGTTAGTCACCATGTGGGTGCTGAGAATGGAACCTGGGTCCTCTCAAGTGCAGCCAGTGCTCTTCATTGCTGAGTCATCTCTCCAGCCCCTCAAGTCACATTTATAATCTCAGAGGTCAATGATGTCTGTGTCAGAAGATAAATACCCTGACTATGATGTTTTAGTTAGTCAACACTATCCATTGCCACTACTTAGATCTTTGTTGATCCTGAGGTAGATTAAATAGAGTTCAGCTGTGAGACAGAACTTATCTATCCTTAAATCAAGATATTTTGAGAATACAAGGTAGACTTCCCCCCAAAAAGTACAGGGATCTCATTTACCTGTTGTGTGTAACGATCAATTTTGGATTGGGCTCCAGGAGACAGCTCAATATCCTTGGCTCCATAGACTGTCTGGGCGATGGTTCTTATCTTTTCTACAACTGGAAGCTGGAGAAACACAAACGACAACGCTGCCATCCTTAATATGGGGAAAGGACTAAGGCAAAGTTTAGAGACTTCTTGAAAATACCCCCACAAGTCGCATTCAAACTTGGCCCTTTCAAAACCCTTCTGTCATTCTTAAGTCACAGAGATGTTCAGATCAGAAGTCCACTGGCACAAAAGAGGCCTTGATGTACAGCTACCACAAAGGCTGCCTATCCAGTTAACCATTTTTATCCACTGTAGCATTTAAAAAAATGTAGTTTACATTAGGCAAAAAGCACTACTAAATAATAGGTGGGTTTTTGTCTGTGAGCCGGAATGAAATTATAGTTTAATATAAGTGCTGATGTGACCGAACATTTTATTAGAAAACAAGACACTGAATCTGTTATCATGTTAGGGAGCTGTGAGAACCACATAGCACGGGAAAAACTTTAAGACGAGACACTGGCAGATAAGGCCAGGTGCCATTGCACACTCCCCAAATCCAGCCAATCTGGGCTGTATAGTGAAACCCTGCCTCAAAAACAAAACAACAAAAAGCCCCCCAAAACCAAAACAACAATCACAACAAAACCCCCACAAAAAACAAACCCTTCAACACCGCCCCCGCAGTCAAACTAAAACAACCAATCACCATCCAGAAAATAAAAAGGCAAGACAAAAGATACTGGCAAAATGAGGTCTGGTGACACATGTCTTTAATCCTAGAATTCAGGGGGCAGGGGCAGGGGCAGGGGCAGGTGGATCTCTGTGAGTTCCAGGTTAGCTTGGTCTATACAGAAAGTTCAAGGCCATGCAGAGCTGCATAGTGAAACCCTGTCTCATAAACAAATGAACAAATAAACAAATACACATAAAAAACCCCAACAAAAAACCCCCAAACAATCCCCCCCCCAACAAAACACACAAAAAAAAATTTAAAAAAGGACACTGGCAAGTTAGTGTGTGTCATATGTATGAGATGGTGTCTATAAAATGCTAGATGGAAAATCTATATATACACTGTTGGTAAAAACTGAATGTTGTCTTAAAAATCAGGACTAAAGGCTGCAGAGATGGCTTTTGCAGAGAACCTGAGTCAGTTCTCAGCACCCACATGGTGGCTAACAATCATCTGTAACTCCCGTTCTGGGGAATCCGATGCCCTCTTCTGGCCGCTATGGGCATTGCATGCATGTGGTGCATTTATACACATACAGGCAATACAATTTCTAAAAATAAATAATTAAAAATAATCAGGACTGGCTCATGAATTCTACAGACGATGTGCTTCTTACTTCAAGCAAAACATTTGGCAGGACTGCAATATTCCTATAGTAGAAAATACATCACCATGATGCAGTTAGTGGATTTACTGCTTGGTGAGCAACTGATGGAACATGTGCTAATGGGAAGCACCGTGTCACCCATGGGGCAAGATGCCTCACAGGTTGTGCATGGTAAGGGTGCATGGTGTGTTTGTATGAGTAGCCCTCAACACAGGTGGGAGAATTATTCAACAAGAGAAAACAGAACTGAGTACTCGCCTGCCACCTTCCCAACCCTGACAGAACCACAAACTACTTAGAACTGTGCTTCTCAGAACTGAGTTTTATTACTGTCAAGCTGTTTTGTGGTCTGAAACTTGGATGAGACAGGGTCTCACTGTGTAGCCCTCATTTGCCTAGAACTTGCTACGTAGAATAGGCTGGCCTAGAACTCAGAGTTCTACCTGCCTCTGCCTCCTGAGCGCTGGGCTCAAAACTGCTTGGCAGGTGTAAGTCTTTATAAGCTTTTACTGAAGGGTATAAAAAGGATCTAAACAATGGACACAAATTCTGTGTCCATGGAAGAAGAGACTCAATGTTGCACACACATCAGCTCTCTGCAGCTCACTTTACTAGTTCAACACCTTCCCAAAGAAAATCCCAAGAGTACTTGGGATTTTAGAATATGTCCAATTAGTTCTAAAATGCATAAGGACAGTCAAGGCTCAAACAGGTATGATAACTTATCAACAAAGCCAAAAGAATAAAGATAAGAGACTTGCAGGGTATCTATAATACCATTAAACTATATTAATTCCCTGTGATACTGGAACACAGATGAGTTAACGCAACAGAAGAACAGACCTGAGAAGACACCCCTGCAGGTGTGCAGTAGTACAAACGAGCAGAGAGCACTGTTGAGCCCTGCCTGACTCCTGATCAGAAAGAAATAAAATTAGATTTCTAACTCACAACAGCTGCACCTGCACCCCCAGCCCCCTAATCTGCTGGTCAACAAATGCCTTTCGAGGAGCAGACTTCTTTTTTGGGGATGCATTTTAATGTATTTTATTTATTTTTTTTATGTGTATGTATTACCTGTATGTATGTAAGTGCACCCATGTTGTGCAATGCCTGAGGAGGTCAGAAGAAGGCTGTGGATCCCCTGAAACTGGAGTTATAGATGGTTGTTGGCCACCATGTGGGTGCTGGGAATTGAACCTGGGTCTTCCCTAACAATAGCTAGCATTTTTAACCACCAAGCCATCTCTCCAGCCCCCTTTTATTTAAAAAATATTTTAATTTTTTGAGAATTTCATACATGTATTTTGATGTTTATCACCAATTCCTCCAAGGTCCACATTTATCTTCCTTCCCACACTAACTTTGTGTAAATTTAGTACCCACTGACTCCAGTTTGGCTGTCCATATACTTCTAGGGCTTGGGCCATCCCCTGGGGAGTACTTGACTGTCCAGGAGCCACCTTTAAAGAAAATGGACTCTCCCTTCTCCAGAAGCCATCAGCTGCTGTCCATAGCTCCTCAGTTATAGGACTCAGGAACCCCTCCCTCCTCTGTGGTAGAATGTTGACTGGCTTGATCCTGTGCAGGTCTTATACAGACAAGCAGCCCTGTCATGTCCTGATAGAACCAGACTTAGCTGGGGCTACAGGGAGAACCTATCTCAAAAAGACCAAAAAAAAAAAAAAAAAGTAAACAGGATAGGGCTAGTGAGGTGGCTCAGAGGGTAAGGGTGGGTCCTATAGTCATAGGCTGAGTAAATAAAGTATATCAAGTTTCTGAGCAGGAAACTCCAGACCAAGGAGTTCCCTAGGGACTTCCACTATACCATCTCACAAGTAAATAAATAAAAATATCTCAGCTAAATAAACCAAAATATCTTTTGGGTTCAGTGTAAAAACTGCCCCAATGAAGTACTTCTACTGGGTGTAATCTATTTATGTGACATCACCAGTGAAGGAACTTCCTGTTCTTTTTCTGCTTGATTGTGAGGAGTACAATCTTTGAAGAAAAAAAGGAGTGAAGTTGAATGTAATCATGTTAATCTGAATTTGAGATTCACTTAAACTGCTCTGTGGCAAACAATAGCTTTCATAAAAACAAATAAAATGGTAAGATGAGTTATGAGTGTTTATGCATTCGTCAGCATTGGCTTTCCCCTGACTGGATACCTAGTGACTAATGTGTTTATTCCCATCTTATGCCCTGACATGTCTAGTGTCTAGCAGAGTGGTCTCACACAGTAGGCTTCCCACAAGATGGGCTAACTAAACAAATAACCATCTACAGGAAGTATTCTCATAATGTCAAAGTGTTACACTTGAGTTGCGGGGACTCTGTGTGCATGAATTCCTGATGGAGTGGAGATAGTGACACAATAAACAAGTGTGACCAAACAGAATGTGCAATCAAGGCTCTGTATAAACATTAAGTCAGGAGATGGAAGCCTGCAGGGAAACATGGAACTCTGCAGAAGCTGGCAAGATGTCAAAAGGATCTTGAAAGGTCGTAGCTTGATGGTAGAACGCCTGCCTAGCGTGCACAAGGCCCTGGGGTTGATTCCCAGTATGGAAAAAACAAAACAAAACACGGTGAATATCATCTTGAAAAGAGGACAAGAAAAACCTCAAAAAGAATTCAAAGGAAGCCCAGGCACAAATGGCAGCAAACATAAAGCTTATTCAGAGAATAATGACTATCCGACGTGCACAGGGCATTAGCATGTAACAGTAATAAGATTCCACAAAGCCAGGGTCCACACTGCTGTTCCACTTTGGTTTCTGTTGTGTAATAGATACCAAAAACAACTTGGAGAGGGCAGAGTTTATTTGGCTTATATGTCCCTATATCACAGTCCATCACTGACAGAGGTCAGGGCAGGACCGCAGCAGAGATCATGGAGGAACACTGCTCACTGGCTTGCTCAGCTACTTTTCTTCTACAGCTCAGGTCCATTTGCCTAGGGATAGTCCTGCCCACAGTGGGCTGGGCCCTTCCACATCAATTAACAATGAAGAAAATACCCCATAGACATGGCCACAGGTCAGTCTGATGGAAGAAAGTTCTCAGTTGAGGTTCCCCCCTCTCAGGTGACTCTAGTTTGTGTGGTTGAAAAAAACCCCACCAGCACAACTGGTGTCTCTGATCATTTCTGAACTGACACCGTTACACCTTCACTCACCAAGAACAGCTCTCTAAATCCCATATCATGTTCTCCCAAGCCTCTGAAATGCATGTTTAGGAAACTGAAATACTCTAGAACAGAACTGTTCAATGGAATGCTTTATTACAATTATTTTATACCCGTGCTTTCTCGTCACTCAGGTCATGGGAGCATTAAAGCTCTTAGAACAGTACTAATGTGACTGAAAAATGACCAAGGAACTAAATTTTTAATTTTATTTCATTTAAGTCTAAACAGCACCCTGGGCTTGTGAAGTCCCGCTCTAGGAAACAGTACGACTGGCTGGCTGCTGGACTGTTGCGTAGCTTCTTTTTTAAAAAGCATTTTATTATTTTTATTTTATGTGTATGATTGTACTTTCTGCATATACGTAAGTGCATCCATGTCATGCAATGCCTGTGGAGGTCAGAAGAGGGTGTTGGATCCCCTGGAACTGGAGTTACAGATGGTTGTTAGCTTCCATGTGGGTGATGGGAACCAAACCTGGGTCCTCTAGAAGAACAGCCAGTGCTCTTAACTGCTGGGCCAACTCTCCAGCTCCTTGTGCA